TCATTTTAAGAGATGAAAATTGGTTAATGGGATTTTGATTTTTATTGACCAAGAATCTCATATTCATTTTTCAGATTTATGTAAAGATTAGGGAAAATTTATTTTTCTGGGTATCACTTATTCAGGTAAGTGCCTAGTTGGGGAAAGTTATCAACATTTGAATGAGACAAAAATGTTCCTTTTAATAATGGATTTTTATGGTTAAAATGGTCATTACTTTATTTACATGAAAAATAAAAAAGGAATGAATAAATACACTTACATGGATAAGTACTTCCTAGAAAAAACTTACCCAGAAAATAACTTACCAAAAAACGAATAAGGCCTTAATAGCATCCATCATTAAAAACAATAATTCTCCTTTACTATACTTGTTTTTATTTGATAAAATGGATATGATAGAGACATGCCGAGGTTTTTTTTTCTTAAAATTCTTTGTATTTTCTACTTATTATACTATTGATTTATGATGGCATATGAAGTCATTCCAATTATTGATTGGGACTATTGGGTATTGTCTAATTTTTGTTGACAACTATAGTTTTAACCTGTTATTTAACAATAAGCCATTCACTTGTTAAGTTGACACATTTGGACATTGATAACATGTAATAGTAAAGCATAGGGATTAGACGGAGGATATTTTGTAATATGTTAATATTTATGCCTTTACTATAATACCGATACTTGTCTTGGCATCACGTCCAGACCAACATGTAAAAATTTTCATTGTTTATTTCTCTTTTCCTACACTATTCATCTTTCTATATCTCTATTCCTCTTCCCTCTCTGTGGGCTGGGCTGGGCATAGTGACTGAACCTGAGGTTTGATTCAATTTGTCCAATCCAGGCCCAGCCTGTATATGCATATATCTATATCTATATGTATTTCTATGGCTTGGACAGGCTTATGTTGGGCCCTGATTTGGCTGGGGTCAGGTCAGCTTCGGGTTTCCTTAGGGCTCAGACTGGATTCAGCCCAAAAATAAGCAAGCCGAATGTTTTGAACCTAGACCCAGCCTAATGCTCAGTTTGGAAGGAATACAAATACAATATGTACAGTACAAATACATATATAATAATACAAAAAATTTTACACACTAGATATTTGTATTTATATTCCTTCCAAACTGAGCCTAAGGATCAAAATCCAAGTTTAATTCGTCCAAATTGCAGCCGTAGATGTACTGATGTATTGACAGCCCTTAAAATTATTGATCACTTTCAATACACAAGGTATAACAGTTGTGCGTATGTAGGGGTGGCAATTTTTCACCCAACCCGCTGAACCCGTCCAACCCACCCAGAATCTAATCCGCCCATTTACTTGGTGGGTTGTGTGATCAACCCATCACCCAATCCATTCATTTAAATGGGTTGGGTTGGGTTGGGTTGTGGATAACCGTTAGGTTAACCATTACAACATAAGTAATAACTCCTTAACCTTCTTTTTTTATTTTCTTCATTTGAAATAAATAATTTATAATTAAGGCATTAATTTTCTATTAATTGTTGACTAAATTTAGTTTTGAATCAACACACTTCACCCAACATAAATCCAAATCAATTTCACCCAAGCCCGGAATAGTTCAACGCAGTCTAACCTGGTCCAACAAATACCGATCCGGGTCAAGTCGAATTTGAAATAGACCTCAAACGGGATGGCTTAGTATTGCTTGCTTTGCGCAGTTTGGGTCGTCTGGTCCAACCATTATTCACACAGCCCGGCCCGACCCAACACAAGCTGATCCGGGTCGACCCAAATCCGAAGCGGGTCAAACCGGGTGAAGTCTAGACCCTACACCACTCCACTTGCTTTGCCCGGTTCGGATCATCGATCTGGCTCGTATCCATACAACCCGACCCGAATCCGGCACGGGTCAACAATGCTATATGACCTAGATCCTTTGGAGCCTCTTACTTGGACCGGTCTGACCGAAGTGAACCGGTCCAATCGAGGTTTGGCCTGACTGAGTTGAACCGGCCCGGTCAGGTGTGGTCCTGACCGGACTGACTCTGGTCTATTTGGGTCTGGTCCGACTGGTCCAAACTGGTTCAATCGAGATCTGGTTCGACCGGACTGGTCCAGATCTCAACGGTTCAACCACTCTTGATGTGATTAGCTCAAAGACAATCCAATTAGATAGTTCAAGTTGGTCTGACCGGTTTGAACCTAAGTGGTTCGTCAAATCCGAAGCTCGAACATAGTTAAATGACTTTGATGTTGGTGTAAAAAAAATACATGTAATATGATTTGAACATTCACCACTTATGTAAATAGCAACTACTATTACCACTAACCTATGACCAACTTATATATTAGGATGGAGTTAGTTTTTTGGGTTTAAGTACATAAATATAAGGTTAATGGGTTTGGGCGGATTGGATTGAATTAAAACGGGTTTGGATAGAACTCAATCCATTTAATTTTACATAATTAGGTCATTAAACCCAACCCAACCCAACCCGCCCAATTGCCACCACTATGGGCCGAGACAACAACAGTTTTGGTATGGTAGCGACGTAGCAATAGGGGTGGTCCAAATAAGTTAGTAGTGAAGGAAGGCATTAAAGAGAGGTCTCTACGGTCTATGTCCATTGCTAAACTTAAAAGGGTGCAAGGTCAAGGTGCAACCACATCTATCCAAGTCCCATCAGGTCCATCCAACCAAATCCATCTTCCAGCATTAATAGCCCCCTGGAGTTCATGTACGTGTAGTCTATCTATTCAGCTGCTACACACATACACCCTATTGGCTATTCCTCCAACTCAACCCCATTTAATTACCCACTGAATTATGACATATAATGGTTTCAAATTGTAGTCCAATGCCCAAATAATAAGTTTAATAATGAATAAGGATTTACATGCATGCTAGTTAGTCAGTCACTCAGTCTCCGCCTAATTAATTCAAGTAGTGAAAGAAGAATTGTTAAAATGGGTTGGTTAAATCAAAATGTGATGTTTTGAATAGGAACACTGGTTAAATTCCCCTGTTTTTCAGTAGGGCAGTGGGGTACGTTGGTTAAATGTGAAGATTACAAATATAAATAAAATATATAAGGTTTGGAAATACAACATAGGGTTTTGTACTGTACTGTGATATCTGTGTTTTTGGACTCTGAGCATGCATGGCAATCAATTGAGACAATTCACGGTAGAAAGTAGGTGAGGGACCAAACTGATCCTATTAATTAACCACGTGCTCATTAGGTCCATCGTACAGCACAGCACTTCCATCCTTTGGCAGTAGTTAGTTGTAGTGACAAATCTATCAATCAATCCCTGCATGTTCCAGTAGTAATAGTAGTACAATACATAATTATAAAAGGATAAATGATAAATAGCTGTGGGGCATACATACTCGACTGGTGTTTAGTAGTGTCATGTGCAGTGAATCCATCAAATAGTGGGTTTTAAGTTTTTAAAGCACACTATTCTACTTTAATGCATTTGCATTTGGTTATGGTGTTGGTGCGGTGTGGTTTAAAATTCATTATCTCGTCGAGTGGAGTACATTATACTCAAAATATCGGCCACACCATTATCTCGTGCTCACAACTCACAACCAGCCCTTCTCCCTATTCAATACTTTTCATGTATCTCTATTCATTTTAATTATTTTTTCTTGTATCTAATTAATAATAATATTTATTTTATCATTACAACTGTTATTAATTAGTTTTAAAAGTAGGAATTTTTACTTTTTATGATTTTACCAATTTTAATAATTCTATATTATCTTTTTATTAATTATTTATTGTGAATATTAGTTTTCTTATTTGTGTGCTCTATATTTTTATATTACTTTTAATTTTTTAGTCATTATTAATTTTTGAATTCATCCGATAATTTTTTATTATTTCATATTAGTTATGGTTAAATTGATTACAGTTTAAATTAATTTGTATTTTTCTTAAAGAACAAAAAAATATTACTCTTGATTCACGTCATAGATTATCTCATATTGTATATCTAAGAATCAAAGAATCAAAACATGGGACTGGATCTAGTAAGCATGTTAAATGGTTACTTGATAAATATTTTGACAATTGTCAAAAATGGGTATTAATCTTTTTCAAGGGTAAGCTGGGGGTATTTTAAAGGACATGTGTCAAAAAAATTTCTAAGTACTCATTTAACACGCTTACAAGACAATGTCGTGCCTGCCTAATCCGAACTGTCAAAACACAAGGTGTGTCATGAGCCACACCACACCCATATAGGTGTAGTGTGGTTCAAGCTACCTATTTTGTCCACAGTACAAAACATTTTCTCTGTTGTGGTGTGGTGTGTATATCATCCAATTTCTTTCTCTTTTTTTTTTTTTTATGGCATACTCCACCCAATTTCACATCCACACCAGAGAACACCCTCTAAATAGCTGATTTGGGTTTATATTTTTCATTGAACATAGCTTAATGATTATACATGTATGACCCAATGTGCTTCACCCTTCCCAAAATGGGAACTTAGCCACTCGAATTTTGTTTTGTGATAAAGACCCCCTAAAGTTCTAGATTTCATCACTGGAAAAACCGCCATCCAGAGGTTTCGTAGAGGGGTAAGTGTTATCACTCCATCTGAACTGGAATAGTTTATTCTCATAGTCTGTTTAATTCAGATAAGAATGGGAATGAAAATTGAAATCAGCATGAATAGTTTATTCCCATAGTCTGTTTAATTCAGATAGGAATGATAGTAGAGATTGAAATCAGCATAAATGAGATTTCATTCTAAAGAGAGAGGCAGGGAATGGCCATTCCCTCAAATGGGGGAATACCATTCCAGAAGGAATGTGAATGAGATTCCGACTCTGCCCAACCAAACAGTTGGAATCCGAATAACCCATTGCGATTCTGATTTCAGATCCCTATTCCTGCAAACCAAACGGGGTGTAAGTACAAGGTATCTATCTGTATTTTACCCGGAGAAAATTATAAATTTGGCCCGACCTGGATCCGGCTTTCAAAGTCAAAAAAAGTCCGGACCTCCCAATCTTTTTATTCCCTTGACTTTCTATACCTGCAGGCAATCCCCCTTCTCCTTCTGCAGAGAGAGAGAGAGAGATGGCAACGTTAGAATCTACTCCTTCACTCCCACAAGAATCTAGTAAGATGGGTGGTGGTGGTAGATTGACAAAAACATTGTTTAGAAGCATTTCTAGTAAAGAGCCTTCCTTCTCGGAGCTACTCTTCTCTCCTGCTCGCTTAAGCACCAGCGACGTGGATCCACCTATTCCTTCAATATCCCCACTTTCTCCTTTACCTCCTTCCATTGCTACCAAGCATGAAAAGTTCCGATCTACCCACCAGTGCATCTCTTCCATGCTGAAGAAGGACGGCCGGATCCTGTCTATAGCCGTCATCAATGGTCTTATCTACACCGGCTCCGAGAGCAACTGCATTCGCATCTGGAAGCTACCTGAATTCACAGAATGCGGTCGACTGCAGACCAAATCTGGCATGGTGTGTGCACTTGCGGTGTCCAGCGATCGGATTTTCGCCGCCTACGCCGACTGCAAGATTCGAGTGTGGCGCCGACTCTGGCATGACAAGCCATCCCATGTTCGTATTGCAACCATCCCCAAGATCGGAAGCTACGTTCGAAATTACATCACCGGCGGCAAAGACAAGAAAATGGTAATTAAGCTCTCTCTCCCTCTCTCTTTCTCTCACACACACATACACACAACTTTAATTCATGGCAATTATGGGTTTTCGTTCTTTTGATATTTGACTAGCTTCACCACGACACCACATACTCATAACTTAATTTGATATTTGATAGAACACCCATAGAGCAGAGAATAATCCAAAGCAATTAAGCTAGTTATAGTTTCCTTCTTTTCTTATATATATAAAGAATAATAATTGAAGAAAGCCATGGAAAAGGTTCTGATACAACATTCCTCTAGCTAGGTCTTGTAAGTTGTGACGCCTCCATTATTCATTATTCATTGAAGATTAGAATGTTCCGTCCTCTCATCTCTCTCTCTGTCAAAGCAGAGAAAACAGACGCAGGGTTAGTAGCTTTTTATCGCAAATGTCGTAAATTAATTTCTCTTGCATTAATTGCTAAGGAAATGAGGTATAAATACATTTGGATCGGTGGGTAACCGACTTGATGCAACTAATTGGCCCAAGTGGTATAAGTGATTTGTAACTAACTGCCACGTGGGTGTAAGCCAAGTCAGCTGTTCTTGTTCTAATTCTAACACCCTCCCCTCAAGTTCGAGCGTGAGAAGACGCCCAACTTGAGAATAAGATTTTGAAATGTTGACACCCTTAGAGCTTTGGTTGGGAGATCTACTAGTTGATTGTTGTTATTGATGTGGAAAGTTTAGATCTCGTCACTTTGAATTCTCTCTCGGACAAAATGGCAGTCAATATCTAAGTGCTTTGTGTGTTCATGGAAAATCGGATTGGCAACGATGTGGAGAGAAACTTGACTATCGCAGTGTAATTCCATGGGTGTTGTGATGTGATTTGTTAGATATGCAAAAACTCATTTAAGCTAAATGAGTTCTGATGTTGTGACCACCATGACTCGATACTCGGCTTCTGATATAACCTGTTGTGGAGTGCCGAGTAAGTGGACAGTTAACCCAGTCGGAATCACAGAAGGCCCAGATCACAAAATCATTAGTGGATGGGAGGTGGATTTGAGATATCTAACCACCCGTAAAGTAGCCTGAAAGTGCTCTTCTTGTAGATCTTGAATGAATTGACTGAGTTGATTTACTATGAAGCTAAGATCAGGTCTTGTGGTCATAAGGTACAGAAGGCAGGCCACCAAACGCCTGTATTGAGTTGGATCTGAGAGGACTGGACTGGCATCATTATTAAAGTGTCGTTGTTGTTCCATGGGAGTTGAACATGGTTTGCATTCGCGCATCCCAGTTTTGTTCAAAATGTCAATGATGTGTTTATGCGGACTTAGGAAAACACCTGAGTTCGAACGAGCCACCTCAATGCCCAAAAAATATGTTAAGGGTCCAAGATCCTTGATGCTGAAACACTCATTGAGGTAAGATTTAAGGGAAGCAATACGGCTTGGATCGTTTCTTGTGATGATGAGGTCATGCACATACACAAGGACTGCAATAAAGGAGTTGTCTTGTTTGCTTGTAAAAAGTGAAAAGTCTGCCACTGATTGGGTAAAGCCTACACCCAAGAGCGCGTGAGTAAATTTTTGGAACCACATCCGTGAAACTTGTTTGAGGCCATATAAGGATTTTTGGAGTTTGCAAAATCGTTGATCCCCATCTTTGGCAAATCCAAGAGGGATGCACATGTAAACATCTTCTTGGAATTCATCGTGGAGGAATGCGTTGTTTACATCCAGTTGATGAAGTTCCCAACATTTAGCAATGACCATTGCGATCAGGCAACGAACAGTAATAATCTTTGCTACAAGCGCGAAGGTGTTGTGGTAGTCAAGCCCCTCGACTTGATAATAACCTTTTGCCACCAAATGGACCTTGTATCTCTCAATTCTACCATCAGCTCATAATTTGATCTTGTAGACCCATTTTGAGCCTATGGCTTTCTTTCCAGGTGGTAAGTCCACAAGTGTCCATGTGTTGTTGTGCTCAAGTGCTTCAATTTCGACTGCCATTGCCTATCGCCTTTTGGGATCATTGACAGCCTCAGTAAAGGAAGATGGTTCTACTTCTGAGGAAATTGTAGCCAGGTAGACACCCAGGCCGGTGACCGCATTAGCAAGAGATGGTGGAAGTTGGTAATCATATGAGCGCAAGCGGGTGGATACTTGCCGAGGTTTATGCAGTCGTGGGCTAGGTTGAGTGATAACTTGGTTATTTTCTTCAATGGTTGTTTCTGGGTTGCTAGTGGGTGTGCTTGTGATTGGTGGTGCCTCATGCATGTCATGAACCAATGGATCTGGTGATATAGTCGAATCATGGTCGGATGCAGGCAATGGTATGACAGGAATGGCTAATGTTGGGTATGAAGTCTGAAATGGGAATTTATATCCATAAAATATGACATCCTGCGAGGTAAAAATGTGCCCAATGTCTATATCAAACACATGATACCCTTTTTGACCAAATGGATACCCAACAAACACACAACGTGTTGCCCTGCTGGATAATTTGTCATGAGGTTTGGATTGTACTTTTGTATAACAGAGACAACCAAACACTTGCATGTGGTTGTAACTTGAGATTTGTTGCAGAAGCACTTCTGGTGTTGATTTACTTGAAAGAAACGGCATTGGTAGCCGATTAATGATATATGTGGCCGTGAGCAGACATTCACCCCAGAATGTGATAGGTAGTAAAGCTTGGAATCGTAATGCACGGGTGACTTCTAGCAGGTGACGGTGTTTGTGCTCTGCAACACCGTTTTGCTGAGGGCTTGCTATGCAAGAATGTTGCTGGATTATGGCTTGTTTAGAAAAGTAATTGAGGAGAGGAACAGAGAAAAGTTCCTTGCCATTATCCGGTCGAATTTGTCGAATGGAATGACCATATTGCCTTTTTACCATAGCACAAAAGGATATGAGATGACGAACAACTTCATATTTAAATTTCAAAAGATAAGTCCAAGTACATCTGGTATGATCATCAACAATGGTAAGAAAATAATGTGCGCCCGTGTGTGATGGAGTCTTGTACCCTCCCCATAAATCATAATGTACCAGATCAAAGGGTTGAGCAGCCCGAGACTATTGAACTGGAGATGGTACTCTGGACTGTTTGGCCCTGTGGCATTTGTCGCAGTAGCTGGTTTGAGGAAGGGTCAGAATCTCTTGGATGAGGGAAAGGCATTGTGAAGAGGCATGTCCAAGTCGTCTATGCCAAAGCTCTTGGTCCTTATTTGAGATTGTAGTAAGCGCAACAGAACTATCTACAGATCCAATATTGGTAAAGTAATACAGTCCATCCACAAGCTTACCCATCCTAATCACGGTCCGAGAGGCAAGGTCTTGGAGAACATAGAATGAAGGAAAGAACAAAACAACACATTGTAGCTCCTTTGTAAGTTTGCTAATAGAGAGTAAATTGCAATGGAATTTTGGGACATGTAAAACATGATTGATGACCAGTTTCGGTTCAAGATTCACAGTTCCGTAATGAGACGCAGTTGTAACAGTCCCATTCGGAAGATGAAGTGGTTTGGAAGATTGTAGCTGAGTGCGATTAGATAATGATGCAGTAGAAGCCATATGGTCAGAAGCACCACTATCTAGAATGCATCCAATGGAAATATTGGAGTGCTTACCAGAAAGGTTTACATGTGCAGTTGATTCATGGTTCTCTTTACTCAATAGGCCCATTAGTTGGTTATATTGCCAGATGCTCAACCCAGCAATAGGTGATTTGTCATCATTGGTGTTTGCATTGGCACATGAACTCAGTTGGAGGGTCTTGCCAGACTTTGTAGAACGATTTAATCTACCTTTCTCCCATCCGGCAGGGTAACCCACAAGCTTGTAGCATTGTTCCCTTGTATGCCTAGCTTTCTTGCAATGATCGTGTAGAGAAGATGGGTCGAATGGCCCATAGGCTGTTTATCCTTTTTTATCTTTTATGTTCTTTGCTATAATGAGCCTTAATCTGGGCTTTATTCTTTCTTATGTTATGTTTTTTTTTAATTTTCTACCCAACTAGGGGCTTCTCTGTAAATTACTAAAGTTTAACTTAATGAAATAGAATTAAGGGAGTAAGAGAAGAGATTATGTTAGAAAATCTCTCTCTCTAAACCCAAGTTGCCACCACCTTCTTCTTCTTCTTCTTTTCTCCTCTTGAATTCTGATTTCTGCTACTTTCTTTTGAATTTTTGTAACTTTCTAAACAATCCTGCTTCTTAAAAGATTGTTTTTCTTCTTGGTATCAGAGCATGCTCATTTTTTTCCCTTTTTTCACCTTTTTTTCCCATACACAATGTGTATGGAGAACTGAATCGTATGAATAATTAAAGAAACCTATTTCAGCCCTGTTGTTAGAGGTTTCTGGAGAGAAGGGGATTGGTTTGTCGTCCTCTTGACAGATTCAAGTGTGTTGCCCAAAAACCCTAGTTTTTTTTGGAGAAATCTGATTGCGGGCCTCACAGGGAGTTTGACCAATCCACTCATTCTTCTTCCTGAAGATCGAATCAAGTGGATTGGTGTTCTGTGAAGTCTACAAGGAGTGGCTGAGTTTTTTCTGTTTCTCCCAGCTTCTAGGTGTGATGCAGGTTATTGGTACGGTTGCATAGAGGTTGGCTCACAACACAAGTTTTGTTTTGTCTTCATTTGTTGTTATTCAAAGTTATTTGAAGTCATTTTTTGAAGTATTTAAGAAGATGGACTCCTCAGACTTTGAAAATAAGCATGTTGCTGAATCCAGAAAAGTTCTAGGAGCCTCTGTAGACTCTCTACTGGTTGTGACCACAGTCAAGCTGGATGTAACTATTTATTTGGCTTGGTTATAATCAGTAAAAATTCATATTTGTTGTAAAGGCAAATGGGGTTTTATCTCTAAGAGCAAAAAGACTTCTTCGGAAGATGATCCATCATATGAAAAGTGAATGCAAGAAAATTATACTGTTATTGGATGGCTTGTGAATTCAATGCAACCACAGATTAGTCATCACTATTTGTGGATGAATTCAACAAAGGAAATTTGGGATAGTGT